CAAGAGCTGCAAACAAATCAAGCAAGGAAAAAGACAGGCAGTGAAATACACAGCAGTGTAAGAGGGGGGTAGAGATAAGGAAAGGAGAGCTGAATAAAAGCTAATCTTGCATTCCTAGCATTGTCTCCTGCCAATTCAGCAAAGCAGCCCTCCCACTCATCCGCTGTAAAGCGACCTAAGCAGGACACTGGCTAATAACCTTTAGTGTTCCGTGTTGGCCGATAAAGTTTTGTCGAGTCAAGTTCACTGGTCGCAATTACCCAAAGGAATAAACTACTTAACTGCATTTCATCTGGCATCTTTTCTTAATGTTATGCCACATGTAAACACAGACTGCCTCGCTCCTCATGTAATCTCAGTTGGAACAAATAATCATATACAGGCTAACCACTATCGTGTTTCACTAATGAGTGCAATGCTCATTCATGCAAGATGAATTATAAACTGTGATTGATATTTCTTGGCAACTGTACTGGGGAATGTGATTGTATGTGTGTGTGTGTGTGTGTGTGTGTGTGTGTGTGTGTGTGTGTGTGTGTGTGTGTGTGTGTGTGTGTGTGTGTTTAGCCACAGTCAGAGGAGAGAATGTGCAGCTGCCAGTCTGGGAGGTTTTTGAAACAATAAGAAGTTTGTGCAACTGAGAGCATAAAGGCAAGTGTGAAAAGAGATGGAGAGCAATAATTAGCATTTGAAACATTTGAGTGCCATTGCATCTGTTTGAATGTGACTGTCGGGGGTCAAGTTAATGTCGCTCTTGACTTTTGTTCTCCACACGTCTTCCCCTCTCACAGCTGTAAGTTTGGCCTTGAAAGTCAGCGGTTAGTTTCGTTGAACAATGAAAACAATCAGAGCCGTCCCATTACCACTCCCTCCCCTTTCCCTCTAACCCACTTCCTGAGAAACAGGATGTTATGGATTGGACGTCAGAGATGAGTAAAGGGAAAATGCGGCCACTTAAGCTCACCAGAAACCATCTTCCTCAACAGACCTGCTTCTATGCAATACCACAAGAGCCTATAGGATGTACACTTGAATGAACCACCTTCTGATGGTTAAAAGGAAGTCTTTGTTGTGAAAATTCCCTATGGTCAATATGCTGATCACAAGACCACAAACCATTTCCCATTTTGCTTATATTGTTCTCCATCCAAAGTGTTCAGTTCTGCTATCATGACTTCTCATAAAGTATCCATGTGAATTTGGCAGTATCAACTCATTTTCATAATCTTTTAATTAAAGTTATTATATTTAGGTTGTTCCCTAATTTCTGAATATTCATACCGGAAATAAGATGTATTAGTCAACTGGCAGGTAAAATCTATTTTGATAACTGATGAGTTTGATTGAAGCTAAAACGTTGAAATATTGGCTGGTTTTAAAGTCTCGGATATGAAAAGGTTTTTTTTTTCACTCCCTGTACAATAATTGATTGATTATCTGTAGGTTTTAGGCTGTTTATCAAAGACTAACGTTTTTGTTCTCCAATTGTAATAAAGAACAAAAATAAATATTATGAACCATACTGATTTGCTTTCTGTCCTAGATATTTTCAAGATCACAAAAGTGTATTTCAGGTAAAGCAATACAAAAAAGACATTTTGAAATAAGATATTAGAAATGGATCGAACCATGTTGTTATACATAAAGATCATAAGCCTTCCTTCAATCCACATGTTAAATGTACCATCAGCAGCAAACAAAAACAGTGAAAAACGAACATTTCGCCGTCACAAAAATGACGCCAACAAATGGTCAAAAATGTCAAGCATGATGCCTTAAGGTCAACTACATACACATACGCTTCAAACATCTGATCGAGCCCTGACACAACACGAGTCACAGATCTACATCTGATTTTGTGGCCATCAGTCAGCATGAATCACTCAACCCTGTCAGAAGACATCCGAGATCATATGCACACGTAACCAACAATGCAGTCTTTGTTAAGTTAATGAAACTCTGGTTACTTCAATAAGCCCCTACACCTGCCATCATCAGCAAAAACTCCCACTGAAACAACACATTCACTGTCAAAGAGCACAACTGTTCGTGCATCTCGAGGTCACAGACAGGCTGTTCGCCAATAGCTCAGTGTGATGCCACCGGAGCTGGTTTGTAATGGGATTGAAGCTTTGGCCAGCTAATCCACTTACCTCCCAACACATACACACATGACGTTAACGTGCACGCACGTACGTACATAGACAAACACACAGGCTAGGCCCTTTGTGGATTAACCTGCACACCTAAAGGGAGCAGACACAATTACAGTCGGCGTTGGAGCATACATCAACAATCAAACAACGACTTTGAGACGAGTAGTCGAGAACGGCTGATACCTGTGTGATCAGAGACACACATGGTGTTATTAGTGGTGGGACCTGCATCACTTTGAATTAACTACAGCCTTGGCCCAGTGATTCCTACACACATGCTGTACACAACATAAACCACAATACAACTTAAAGACAATAGAGAATACACTAATTTACACTGAAATGTGTACGTGCATGTAGCACATGTTTACAAGAGAAACAGCTAGTTTATTTGTTCACAATGAAGCTGACAGTTATTCCCACCCAGGCATTTTCCTAGCACAACAAGTCCACACATGACTCACCCAACAGGTTTACAAGGACAAACTTAAAAGCCAAGCCCATGAGTGATAGACTCCTACTACTGAGGACCACCACCCTTACCTACACTCAAATACACAAAACAGGCTTAACATTGAAATGTGCTGTTAAACAAGTTGTTAGGTTTCCAATAACCTCACTTGGAATATGTATTACGATACAAGTAAAATAAATGCTACTAAAGGAAAAGCATAAATACACTAGAAATTAAAATGTACGTAGTAAACAGCATGCAGAATGGCACATTATTGTATAATAGTTTTTCACTTTAATGTTTGCTGCTGAAGAAGGAGGTTATTTCGATTAATAAAATACTGCTGGGTAGTTCAAATATATATATATATTTTTTAAAAATAGTTAATTATAATTTGTAGTATCTTGCAAAAATACATATAGCAGTGTAAACCTCACTTTATGTAAACATGGAGTGGAGGATAAGTTAAAAGTACCTTACATTGTAGTTAAACTACTCAATGCTAAATACACTTACAGTTTATCATTGCTTAAAATACACTCTTCTCTTTTGGGCCTCCTTACCAAAGATAAGCGTCTAGTTGTGGAAATCTACTTATCTGCTTAAACTGATAAAACGGTCTGCTTCTGATGTAAAGACGAGCTCTACTTCAGTGCTGTAAACCCGCCTGACCGTCACGTTGTCATGCCACTATATTCCCTGTTGTAAGTCCAAAAAACTGTTTCCCCTGATCTAGTTAGCAAAAACCCACAGACTGTCGTGAATTGATTTGCTAACGTAATATAGCAAGGTAGAGCATGTGCAAAGAACAGCGCGTTTGCTAAACCACAATAAGACGTGGGTATAAAATTACTCTCACGAACAAAGACCTGGATATTTGAGAGTTAGCTTATTTTTGTGAATCCGCTAATGCCCAGATAAATGTTAATGTTTGGGGGAAATAATTCAGCACAGATAGCTCTCCACTCCGCTCCCGTGTGACCTGGTTTGGCTGTCTCGCTACGTTAGCATCACAATAACCTACATACTGAGAGGCTAGCGTTAGCTTAGCAAACACAGATTAGCCGCAAGTTAGCGTGTGTTTGGCTAAAGGGGCATTTGAAGCTAATTTAGACGGTATTCTCAATTTCATTCAGTGGTATCTAGGTCTCTTGTGAATCAGGTGTAACAGTGTGCACGGTAGGCTACGGTAACGCGGGCCTCGGTATGAACTTTTCACGTTAGCATCGTGAGCTAACGCTATCTAGGAGAGTCGTGTTGCTGATCTGTCGATGATGTGACCACTCCTTGCCAACGCTGCAGTGCACCCACTATCTGTGAAAAACAGAAAAGAAACACTCGCCCGCCGCTTCATCTGGTAACATTTATGAATTAACTCACCTTGCTTGTGGAAAACCTCTGCGGACCCCTTACAGACTATTCCGTTTTTTGTGTTTTTTCCCCTCCTTCCCTGGGTTCTGGGTCAAGCTCTTTAAAGACGAAGCGACATCACCGAGTTTTCTATCAAAGAGAGGGCGGGATCAACAATCGGCTTTACCGTAAATACGGCGCAAGTAGAATTCCTCTTCTCATACAGGTGTTTGTCACAAGTTTCCAGAAGGGCGCAGCTATTCAGTGTACTGGGAATATAGATAACGTTCACACGAACTTGCATGAGCAAGCATGTGAATAGAAAAGACGAGAAGGGGGATTTAAATTATTCTGCACTAGTAGATAAAATAGGCTTCCTCCCACCACCTCCTCTCTCCTCCCATTTATTTCCGTCTGTCGCTCCGGGTCGCTCCCCTCTCCCTCACATTAACACACAAACACACGCACACACACACTATCATTTCATTGATTGCCCAAGAACAATAGCCTGAGAGGAAGCTGCATTTCTTAGGGAAGTTCAAAAAACGCATTTCGCATCAACATGAAAACACTTTTGGGCACATTAAACCACCACCAGTTACCATCACATCCTCTGCATGTGCCCGGTCAGTAAATAGTTTAATGGTAAACAGCCTCTGCAATCACTTGATTTATTGGTATAATGCTTGACCACCAAACTATTTAGGGATCCCTCCTAACTCTAACTTTAGTGTCAAACGTTATGTTTCCTCTTGATATTAAAGTAATTATTGAACTTTTAGTCCTGCCTATTAGTGTTTGATATATTTCTGACTTTACAGAAGTTATGGTGAACCAAAAGCCAAACAGATGGATGCTGATAAACAATGATTTAGAGTGGGCAGGGTGGAAAGAGGAACAATGCAAGGAATTTCCCCCAGTTTCCGAGTCCCCCCACAGTGCCACAGTATGAGTAAACCTGAGTCACAATGATCACTGGGAACACAAACAATGCTGCACCCTAGAGGGGCAAAACGAAAGGTTACTTGTCGGACATTAAAAGCTGTTAAACAAATCCGTATTTATTTATAATTGCATATGCAGATTACAAATCCACAAACAGAAACCACAGTTAAAGTATTAATGACCAGTCTTTAACCCTCTGGGAAGTGCAAAAGCAGAGAAGAGAGCTGAAACAGAGATACAAGTGGAGGTAGTTTGCTTTTTAAATTATACACACACATTGAACAAAATAAAACACATGTACATGTCTCTCTTCCTTTAACAGATATTAAGCTTACAGTAAGAAACACATTTTTGATAATAAATTATGTTGAGTTTGATTATTCCAAATCGAATGATTACTCAATGTTGGGATTCTTTGTCCACTGTAGACTTTCATAACTGTCAACAATAAATTAGCATCATAGTAACATGCTCTGTTGTACTAGGGTTTGGCGCTATGGCAATATATATAAACAGAAATGTGTGAATCATATCATAACTGGATTTTTCCAGAGCATAAAACAAATGTGACCCCTTTAGTATATCTAACATTAGCAGATAAATGAGCAGAACTGTCAGACAGGGCTTCTGCATCAGTGTGATACCTTCTAGTGAATATTTGTAATATATCGTTTCATTAATTGGATTATAGATAAACAATTTTTCTTGAGTATTTACTATATCACAATATATACTACAATATAAAGTACATTGTTATCCAATGTCCAAATCACGGTTGTTCACACGGTTTCCACTACAGTTTACAGGCGTTTACAGTGCTGTAATATTATTTAACATAGCAAATGCGTGAGTCTTTAATAATGAGCGTATCTTCCACATTGAATCATTATTTATAGCATTAAGCTATAGTTGTATAATTTGCAGAGTTGGCTACGAGAAGGTACAATATATAAAAGTATTTATAAATTTCATTGAAATGAAGGCACTACTTACTCCTTGAATGATGAAAGAGTCATATATTTGTCTGATTTTCAGATGGTATTAAAAAAAGATTATTAAAAAATCTATTATTTTACTGGGAAGCTGACAACACATTAGTGTACTTGTAGTTTATGGATTGCATTAGACCCACTATAACTTATTTTGTTATAAAAAAAGCACACAAACACAATGCAGCACAGTCAGTAAAAGTAACTTCTTTAAAAATATCTTTAAGCCATTGTCAGATCAGCCCGTTACTGATGTGTGTGATCATGTGTCTGCGCAGGTTGCTGGGGTTGTTGAAGCTGGCTGTGCACTGGTTGCACGTGTATGGCTTCTCTCCAGAGTGAGTCCTCAGGTGGATCTTCAGGCTGCCATTCTGCGTGAAGCGCTTCCCACATTGATTACAAGCGTACGGCTTCTCCCCAGTGTGAATGCGCATGTGGATGCTCAGCGTGGTCTTGGAGAAGAATGATTTGCCGCAAAAGGTACAAAGAACTGGCGGCTCTCCAGTGTGACTTGCTCTATGCAAAATCAGGTCTTCACGGCGGAGGAAGCGCTCACCACAGAACGTACAGTCGAGAGATTTGTTGATGCCGTGAGGGTAGATGTTTGGCTGCTGGGTGAACTGGCTAACATGACTGGGCTGGCCCACAAGAACATCAGCTCCTATTATTTGTGTTTCTAAAGCAGGATTCAATGCTGTTGAAGCCAGTTGAAGGTTTCTGTTTTCCTGCATCCCTCTCATCGGGACTCTGTCGCTGGCACCTGTGGTGAAATTCAGGAGACTGTCATGGTGGACGTTGTGGTGGGGAGACAGTGAGCTCAAAGCCTGGAGTTCAGAGGCAGTGAAGAGGGTGTCGCTCTCCTCCTGCAGAGGCCCTTCCCCTCGTCCGTGAACACTCACGATTCTCAGATCCTCATTATCATCCGTCAGGCAGGAGTCCAATTTCGGAGTCACTGTAGAAACACCACCCTGCGTACTGTGGTTTCCAAAGTCATCCTGACCTAAAAGGTCAAGTCACAAAAAGACATCATGAATCAGTTTGTGTATAAAAATCATTGCATCAAGAACCTAAAGTAGCTTCAACAAAGCAACGTGTGATGTGAAGTACCCACTATAGGTTAAAAACAATGAGTAAAGTCTACCCAAAATTCCCTTCCTCTAGAACAGAATTAGCATGTATGAGTCATGGCTGAATCATGCCACTCATCATGTCACAATGCACACTGTGTTATAATAAATCACCTTGAAAGCTTACTCATTAACCCATCAACAAATATCCAATCTGACACATGCTTTGAATATTTTAAAGCATGCATTAAGTAAAATAATTAAAAGTTCAAGTGATGATGATCTAACTTGACAAAGTGTACAGTGTTTGAACATAAATAAAAAAGGTATATTGTAAGATTTTAAGTCAATATCAAAACTCTTTCAAAAAAACTTCTGAGGCAGAATACTGAAGGCTGTTTTCTTTCAGCAGTGCCAGACACATGTTGATTTAAGACTCAACATAAACAAACATTATAGTCATTATACAAACACAACAAAATTGCATTTGCATCTGCTTGGGAAGGTGCATTATATTGATGGATACATATAATGATTCATATTAGTTTAAAACAATAAGGATGAATAAAGGTCAAATATGACAGTCCAAACATCAAGTAGTTCCAGTTGAGGTGCGGAATACTATGTATTTATGCTAAAAGGTTTCCTTCATAAATATTTATTTCAACAAATCTCCTGAAAAGTCCATCCAATATTGAATTTGTAAAACTAGCAATACCATCTAAGTATTTTTTCTGTAGCTACTGCCTTACTCTCACATCTGATAACAACTCACCTCCAACTCGCACACATCCTCCCACGTCTTCTTCATCTTTGATCAGGATGACATCTGGTGTCTCCACTATACACTAACCAAAAATAATACATATGCATGAACAAAATAAAAATCAAACACAACTATTATATTCTGGAATTCTTTGAAGTGTACTAACCTCGACTTGAGGGGCAGGGAAGGAAGGCTCGTTCTCTGATTGAAGAGCAATAGTAGAAGTTTCCACAACAGTTTCCATCTTTTGTGGCATTGGTGGCTTAGTAACCACTAAAAGGGGAATAAAAGACCAATAACAAAAATCTTAATACAAGCCTTGTTAACATGCATATCACGTATGAGATATTGAATGATGTATTGTTGTGTGTTTTGAAAAAGTATATTTAAACTGTGTATCTATGTTTCAATGTTGTTATTACAAAAAGACATGCCAAAGTTATTTGTAAACTAGGTGCCCTTTAATTGTGCATAAAGGTGGGGTAGGTAAGTTTGAGAAACCGGCTCGAGATACACTTTTTGTTATATTCCATGGAATGCTCTTAACATCCCGATGGCAATTAATATCTTAAGTGCTTTGACAAAAAATCCATTAAAAAATGTCATCTGTGGAAGCCGTAGTACTGTAAAAACCTACCTGCCTGTCAGCTTTCCATCTGTGCACAAACTTATCTCGTGCCCTCATTGGTCATGTGCTCGTTCGTGTGTGTAAGGAAGTAGCCGATTTCTTCCGGCTGTGCATTTTCAAATTCTAGCGCACTCGAGCTGGTTTCTCCAAAATTACCTAAACCATGTTGTGTGCCATCTTTATTATTGTATGTTCTGCTTGTGCACCATAACGAAGCCGGATTACGAAACAAAAGGGGCCCTGGCCACAGATGAGCAAAAAGGCCTCACTACTACATTGGCGCTAAAAAACACAGACTTTATAGTTGTTTAGTCTCTTATTGTAGTTGTTTTGTTTCACGTTGTTGTTGTTAAACATTTCTCTGTGGTTTTGTGTCTTTTTGTGGTAATTTCGAGTTGCTTTGAAATTGCTTTGTGTCTCATTGTGGTTGTTTTTGATCCTTTTCATAGTTGTGTCTATGTGCAGCTGCTTTTCATCTCTTTGTAGTTATTTTAGTCTCTTTGTAGTCTGTTTGCGTCTCTCTGTAGTTGTTTTATGTTTCTTTGTGGTCATTTTGGGAATGTTCCTATTCGGTACATTTAACTTTCAATTACATTTTGTAGTTGAAGGCCAGTGGGGCTCCGGACATATTGGTCCCCATAGTCTGTTCTCGGTATTCAGTAATCCATCCATGCTTATAAACCACATTTAAAATGTAAAAGAAAGCGATATCTTCAATTTGCCATATAAATATACACAATTTAAACCAGTCATAATACAGTTAAACATGTCTTGCACAGTGAATGAGATGAGGCTTATATTTAATAACCTAAGAGACCCACTTTAGGGCACAAGGGCAACCCTTGTTGATGTGGACTGTCACGTGAGGTGGTAATGAGCAGTTGTTGACATTTTATAATTGTAGGCTGGGAGAAATATCAAAGCACTTTTTAATAAAAAAAAACAAATAATACCTTGGTTTGCATCTGAATTAACAAAAGCTAATTTTACATTGAAAGCTGCAGGAGGAGACAACTTGTTACTCGAGTAGAAAGTATTTAGAGTTACCGTGGGATTTAGCCCGGGGTTTGGGGGTGTATCCTCGGATCGGGGAGAAGCGGCTGACCGGCCGGTTGGTCCTGGTCTGCAGCCGGAGGGAGAAGAGCTCACTCCGGGTCACCTTCATCCTCATCCTCAGCGCTTCGTTCTCCCTCAGGCTCTGACTGAGATGCAGCCGGAGAGACGACGAGTTCTCCGAGAACAGCTGACTGATTTCTGACACCGCCGCTTTCACCAGCACATCCATTATGGACAAAAGCTGCGACTCTAAATTCATGCTGCCCGGCGGCATGCTTGCAGACATGTTTCACTTTGCTTCCGCCGTGAATTATGTTGGAAAGAAGCGCAACTCAGTGGCTGTGTTAGCTCACAAAAGCGACAACACAATGGCTCTTCCGGTACCATGGCGCTGATTACCGTAATCCATGGGAAGCAGGGGCAGTTTTGGTTCACGTTTTCCTGGCTATTTGTTATGATCCGTGTATATGTTTTACTGATACAAAATAAATGTTCAACAATTCACCTTATAATTAAAAGCACAATCAATTATTTTTTGATGTAGCCTATTGCCTAATCGACAAATATATGAGCGCAGGTGTAAAGTAACTAAGTACATTTTCTCAAGTAGGCTACTGTAGTAGTAGGCCTATTTTGAGGTACTCCTACTTGACTTGAGTATTTATATTTAATGCTACTTCATACTTCTACTCCACTACAATTCAGGGGTAAATCGTGTACTTTTACTCCACTACATTTATTTAATACTTCAGTTAGCCCACTTTACAGATTTGGATTCATGATGTGAAATATAATCAAATAAGACTTTAGTTACACCTGGAGTAAATTCACAAGCTACCCTGCAGTATACAACGTAATTGGGACTAGCTGTACCTTTATCAGCTTTGATAACACTTTAATGCATCAATAATTGTAATCAAAACATATCATATATATTATTCTGAAATGGACCAAGTAGGCCTAAAATATCTCAGTACTTTTCCCACCTCTGTATATGTGTTCTAATGTTAGGACAACCGTGTTCTGTATAGACCTCGGATCCAACCCTTAAACAACATACAATCACAGCTTTATTACTGATAAACACATTTAAAAAAGAGCAAATTAAACTGGCTCATACTCTACAAAGGTCACAATTTATAATTAAGTGTTATTTACTCTTTTTAATTAAGCTTTTCAATACATTTATCAATTTCTCACCGACTTTCATTAATTAGGCTATTTAAGACTTCTCAATAGAGCCTTTAAAAATTGTAAAAAAAATTGTAGCACAAAATGCTTTCTGGCAGAAAAGACAACCTGTCCTTCATTATATTTTTGTCATAATCAATTGTTGTCATAATCAATTTTCACAAGTCCATCATTTAATAAATATGTCTATAGACACACAGCAAATAGAGGAACAGAACATTTCTGATTCATGTGCTCAAAACACGTGGAACAAAAACAAAGCATAAGCATAGTGCACTTTCAAACATACATCTAATAACACAGTGCCCGTAGTTAATCCAACATCAAACTAAGACATAATCATTGAAGTCAAACAACCGTCAACAATCCTTTGGTCTCCAGTCTTTCTGTTCGCTGTCAGTGTTTTTTTAGGAGTCTCCTTCGACTACCACTTCACCATCTCCATCATTCTCACATTTGTTTGGTGCTTTATCTTCCTCCTGAGCACCCTCTGTCTCTGTAATTTCTTCCTGTTTCTCCTCTTGGCTCTCTATCATACTGTTCTCAGCAGGTGACTCTCCCCTGTCCTTCTCTGGGGACACCTCTCCTTTCTCCTTCTCCCCTCCCTCATTGTCATTCTTGGTGTCTTTATCCTCCTTTTCCTTTTCCTCCTTGTCCTTCCTCTCTTTCTCTATTTTGGAGAGGTTGTGGCAGAGAGACTGGACATATGTGAAAACACACATGGGGTCCGGGTGTTTACCCATCAACATCATGTCCTCCACTTCCAACAGAGGGCAGCAGTCGGCCAGGGACCTGCCGGGGAAGGATGGGACGGGAGGACAGAGGGGAGGAAAGGAGAGCACTGAGGTGAGACAAAGCAGTGGTATGGTTCAAAAAGAGACTCCTGATATTCTAACAGATTTGTTGTTAGTATTCTTAGTTTGTGTTAGTAAACTCCTTGGTGAGAAGCAGCCACCTTTAAGAAAGACTTTCACATGGGATATTGCACTCAAAGCTACATTAAACCCAACTTATCGAAGCTATTCTCTTTCAGGAATTTGACCAATTGGGGGAAGAAGGATCTAGTCCTCATTTGATCCCATGTGTAATAAGCACTCATCTGGTCAACATCTGACCATAAGGGTAGAGAATTAAAAGCTCCATACTCTGCAGTTTGAAAGGCGAGTGTGAAGTTCTTCTTCCTCTGCTTTGGATTCAGGGTGCTGAAGTCAAAAGCTTCAGGAAAGTATCGATGGATCAGAGCACAGAACGCCATCCCATCACACCAGGAGGAGGAGAAGTTCTCTATGTTGACACCCTAAAAGGTCAAAGGACAGGAAGATAAACACATCAAAGCTTAATGATATTATTCTGCAAGTTCTCTGGTCCCAAATCTAGCCGACAAACCTTGACATTTGGTGTTGAAGATTGTGTGTTGAACCCACCTCATAGTTGCGAGTCTTGCTGCGACACCACTGAAGCATCTTCTGTTTGATTGTGTTTCCTGTAGCCAAACCTGAAGATGACCTCTGAACTTTGAAGTTGGGGGGTGTTGGTGTCCTAAAGAAGTCACAATATTGCACATGAAACCTTTATTAGACCATATGTACTGTCACTTATTTGATGCACTGGGTATCGTACAATGACTTACTCTGGAGCACCTTGCTGGAATTTGGCAATTATGTCATTTTTAGCGGCTGCTCTAATTGAGCGCGCGGTCTGTCTTGGTCGAGAGACAGAAGAAGAGGGTGGAGCACCTTTTCTTTTTGGCTTCCCTTGCTTTTCTACCTCCTTCATTTTTCCGCTGTCTGTTGTTTCTACATCTGCCTCGACTTGTTTTTTCTTCTCTGCCCCTTTTGCTGCTTTTTCTTTCACATCCTTCTTTGCTTCTTTTGCCTTTTGCTCTGTCGTCTTTTTCTCTTTGGTTTGGTCTCTCATCTCCTCTCCATCTCTTTCTTTCTCGCATGGTTTGTCCTCTTTCACTTTCTCACCTTTCTCATCTTCCGTCATCTCTTCCTCCCCATCTTTTTTTTCACTTGTTGTTTCAGGATCCTTAACGTCAGCATCAGCGGAGACTTTGTCCTCAGCGTCTTCAGCATCCCCTTCGACAGTCTTTAATGGAGGAATCTGGGGATTGTCTGGATCTCTGGGTTCCTCTTCTCCTCCCTGCTCTGGTACTGATTCCTCCGCCCCCTTCTCCCCCACCTCCATTACCGCCTGACCTTCCACTGTCTCCCCTGCTGGAGGCTCTCTCCCTGGGTCTATACTCTCCTCCAGCTGTGGCTCATCTGTCTGCAGGACAAGCAGCATAACATAGAGTTTAGTCATCCATCTGAAAGCAGTTACAAGCTACAATGCATGTGTGTGTATCTACACACATTTATTTAACATCTCACACTTGCCATACTTACCAAAAAACATTGTTAACATTGTTCTGATTTGACCAAGAGGAGGTCTGACCAATTAGGGTGTCATATGCAATACATAGAAAAAGGCTTATATCTTTATATAACTTTATATATTGTATGTCATCAATTTCCATCTTAAAAATTACGTCACTTTATCTTGTAATTGTGCTTCTTTCCTATTTAATATATCCTCTTATCATCATTAGGTCTTTTAAACTAATTTAAAAGCAAAGAGTGTTAACCTACTTTTGAGAAAATAAATCGGAAACTCAGAACTTACTAGCACCATGGGGAAAGTAGAGCTGTATCTCAAAACAATTAAAAATATAGTTTGCTCAAATAAAGGACATGCATGGGTGGAAGCTTAATACAATATTGTTATCCTGGTCCAGTCACTGCAAGATGGATTTAAGCATGACTTCAGATTGTAAGGTACCATTATGTCGCATGCGCTAAAATTACTTTTCTTTACAGTCCCTGAGCCAAAGAGCATAATGTAATGTGAGACCTGAAGCTTTACTCTGGGACTTGTTGAGTATCTCACTTATTTTAATACGTCTGAGAGGTTGGACTGTCAGATGGAAAGTTTGTCTTCACACCTATAATACAGGTCAACTTCTTCAATATGAGAAATTAAACAAACAACTTATTAATACATGTAAATGTCAGGTTGCTTCCTATTGAATTAGTGCTTTAACTCGTTTTTATGAAGGAAATCAATCATTTCTTAAATGCCACTGCATGGAATCTTCAAGGTTTTCAGATCTCATCTCAATGAAATGTAGCATACAGAATTTTCTGTTTAGAGATTAACTTAATCTTATTTCAAATACTGTATATCTTGTATATTGCCACTCGAGGAACGGTCACCCCGGGTCAGGCCTCATCGGAGGTTTGTGTGTGCATGCCATACCGTGCATGCGCATTACTTTACATAACTTGTGTGTATCTGTGTGTTACATGTGAGCCAGGAGCTACAACAGGTGATTCAGCCAGAACCACTTCAACTGTCCTGCTGTCCTAACGTACCACCTGCCACAGTCACAAATACACTCACTGCCTATTCCTGGTACGGATTGTCACATCATAGATTTCACACAACATGAAAACCTTTATGCTGCAATTTAATATGACATGAAAAAAACACCAAACCTGGTTGTTGTTGTTGTTGGTGTCGGTCTGGCTGGTTGGATCTGTAGACCCAGATGTCTCCTGGCTGGGCGATTCTCCATCCATGATGTGCAGAAATGTCAGTTTAATGACTGGATCAAAGGTAAAATCAGAATTTCTTTTCAACTAATGCCCCAGGACTCTTTATAGAAACGTTTTTAATTCAGTCAAAGTTGAATCCTCTTCATTGCTCAATGTCTCTGCCTCTCTGCTTCTCAATGCTCGACTTTGCTTCCCTGTCTCCCTTTCTCTCCGTCTCTGTCAGCACTGCCCCTGTGTTTGTGATGTGTGGGTTGGTTTGTGGATATCCGCCTTCACCCCCTTTCACCAGATACCCCCACCCACTGCTTTGTGAGGATGCCTTAGCTTCTTTATCTGACCTTTTGAACAACACGTGGTCCAAAAATAGACCCACAGTGAGATAGGCACAGTCCAATGGGCCAGACAGCTGCGTCTGCTGTGGAAACCGTGGTTGTACACATTTTAAACACATGCGGGTGCATGCAGTCCATTAAACATGCTCACAGAAATATAAGCTGTCCCTTAATTGTTGCTTTTAAAATAAAATGTTGATTTTGATACATGCATGTTTTCACCTGATTACCAAGAGTTAAATGAGATGATTGGGACCACTCTCATATGTATGGTACAAATTAAACTTCAACCCCGATTGGTTAACTTAGCTTACCTAAAGACTGGAACAAGGGAAACAGCTAGCACGGCTCTGGCGAAGTAACACAATCTGCAAACCAGAACCTCTTATATTTGTGATACAAATTAATATTTATTTCCAAGAACATAACTAGCGATTTTTGTTCCACTTACCCCAACATGCTAAGCTAAACTAAGCTAAGCTGACTATCTTTTGGATGCAGCTTCCAAGTATCAATATTCTCATCTAAGCAAACAACAAATTAGTACACTTCTCCCTCAGTCTGCCATGCTTACAGCACAGCACCTTTACTTTAATTCTTACAGTAAATCAGCAACGAGGGAGTTCATAAAACAACAGAAACGACACACACTCTTTGGTAATATTATAATTATGTATGCCTCAAGCTAAGATTATACATTAAACAAGTCATTCATCACTTGTCCAAAAGTGCTCAACTGAAAATCACAATATCTTCCATCACTTTGTACTCATTTTTTGGGTTTTGTCTTCATTAAATATATTATAATTAATAGTTTGATAGTTATAAATAACTTCACATGTCTCAACTTTCTCAACTTTTTCTTTTAATGTACTAATTGAAGCCCTCTGTCACACATTGTAGTTCTTGACAAAATGTGATATGAAATAGATACATGGTTAAACTATCTAGTCCACCTTTTCAAATTGGCATCCAATCTGAACTGTGTATCTTTTCATTCAACACAAAACAGATGGTTTTAAAAATAACTGTCTATCTTTATTCCCACTCTGTCTGTCATCTCCTCCTACCCCCTCATCCTTCTTCTCCTCCTCCCTCGTGTTTAAGTCTTGGGGGCTATAAATATGTCACAGCCTTCTTGTGTATCTGTCCCCCTCCCTCTTGCTCAATCAACAAAACACAACTACGCATCTGTTGCTCTTTGTGTGTTTGTAAAACCAGACGACTTGATACTGTTAAATAGTATATAATAGAAAGATATGCTGAGCACAGGAAATTGCAATGGATGGGAAACCAAAATGGTTGTTTGTGTGTGTGTGTGTGTGTGTGTGTATGTGTGTGTGTGTGTGTGTGTGTGTGTGTGTGTGTGTGTGTGTGAGTGTGGCCTAGCATTACTATACTTGTGGGGACCTAAATCTGTTTACACAGTCACGTGTGGGGACTCGCCTCCATTATGGGGACAAATTGGAGGTCCCCATAAGGGGAATCATTCATTTTAGGGTGAAGACTTGGTTAGGTTTAGGATTAGGGTAAGGGTAAGGGTAAGGTTAAGGGTAAGGGTAAGGGTTAGGGTTAGGCATGTGTTGGTTATGGTTACGGTTAGGATAAGTCTCCAGGAAATGCATGTAAGTCAATGTAATGTCCCCTGATGACTAAAGACAAATTATTGTCTTTTGTTTGACTAATGTGCCTCATGCCTGCCATACTCTACTCACTCATCGAATGACCATCATCTGTGTGTGGTGTGTGTGTGTGTGTGTGTGTGTGTGTGTGTGTTTGTTTGTGTGTTTAACATGCATGCACACAACAGAGGCTGCCTTGTATGCTTCATCTTGTAATCTGTTGTGGTGAACACCCATTACTGTTGTCTGCTACTTCTTGGTCTAAATCAGTGGTTCTCAAACTTTTTCTGTCACCCTTTGGAGAAAAAAAAAGTTGGGCCCCCCCAACACAAATAGTCAGGCTCAATGGCGGCACCAGAGATTTATTTTGGGGATGCTGTGGGGTAGCTTGACGTTTCATAGAGGGTGCTCAGACATTTAGGGTTTCCCATTAATGTACCGGTCGCTACATCGGAATGTTCTACTGCAACAATCCCCACGCATATACACAGTGTGACTGTTACAATGAAGGCGATAATCAGCTCACGGCATATAGGTGTAAGCAGGGGTAAAGTGCTATTTTTATAGGTGATGTGTGGACCACACATATGGGGGTCCGGGGGCAAGCTCCCCCGGGAAGATTTATTTCTAAATATTGAAGTTAAAAGCATCAATCTGGTGCACCTTGAGAGCAAGATGAAGAGATCTTCATACCTGTTTTTCATTTATTCTCTTATTTTTTTATAACTATAATGATCATATAAACGTGTGCCTCGGAAATAATTGTTTACATTAATCGTGACCAAAACGTTTGAGACCCACTGATATAACTTAGACTAAAGTTAACTATCTAAACACTGAGAGAGTCCTTTAGCTCACTGAGCCTCTCAGTCTGACAGGAGAGTACTCTCTTCCACCTTGTTGTTGAAAAAACTCCTTATATCCATTAGCGTAGCTCGCTAGCACCGGAAGCTTTAATGAAACACAGAGACCCAGACGTAATAGTACTGTACTGTATCATATTATTTTCGAATCAATAATTTTTTAAATTATGATTTTTTTTGTTATTTTTGTTTTAAATAACCATTTTTCCTCCTGGTCTCTCGCCACCCCACTGTCATGCCTCTGCGCCCCCCAGGGGGGGCGCGCCCCCACTTTGAGAACCACTGGTCTAAATGGATAAAAGTTTCAGCATCCTTGTTCATCTTATGTACATTGCCTTGTGTTTTTTATGCTACTGCAACACAAACATTTCCTTTATTTTCCTACATATAAACTATTGTACACTTTGACATGAGGAGGAGAGGACTTGTCAGAGGAGATATTGTAAAAACATTTGTTGAAACTCATCACAGGAAGTGACAGTCCAATGTCTTACATCTGTTCAGAAACACAAGGCTACCAGGGCATCTGGAGTCAGGTGTCTTTAATATGTCCTTTAGAAACAATGGAGTTAAGCCCCGGCACCTTTCCAACTTTACCAAACTTCAACTTTCCCGTTAAAAAAAAAAAACTCCATTCAAACAACAAAACGGTTATCTCTATTGGGACAGACGGCCATCACTTGATCATTTCTGAACAACAGCCCGTAATTAGGCTGTAGCTAAGGGGAAGAGCTGTTGTCTTTGAGTCAGAATGTGGTGGGTTCAATCCCAGCCATGCAGTCATCATGTTGATTTATCACAGTGAGTTTGCTGCTTGTTAAATGTGTGCTTTATCTCACTGCTTTAGTTGAGAAGAGCTTCAAAATCAAAAATCTCAAACCTGTTAGAAATCCCATCCCTTACTATCCTGTTACTGAGTTTTAGGTAGGAGCAAAACCTTTAATAGCAACATAATTTTTTACTCTAATAAACATTTATATCTGGCTCTTGAGGGGCTCTGAAGTGAAGTGTACTTCTTGCGCCAAATAAATCGATAAAAGTAAATCTAAGTGTTTTTATTCAGCCCAATATCATAAATTGTACTTTTGTCTCAGGGGACTTTAAGGAACATGAATACGACAGAAATTCCCGATGCTATACGCTTTTAAAATATGTATTGAAGAGAGAAGAGTCACTGTGTTTCTCCTCACACAGTGTACACCTTAACACAAAGCTTCCAAATAAAAGGGGGGACTGGTCAGAGGAAGTGAAACTAAATATTATAGCAACTCAAAGATATTGTTAAAGAAACATGCACAACTTTCAGAGCAATTGAAAGTACAATTGTTATAAATGTTGTCGTATCCACAGAATACAAGGCTACCAAGCAGAACAACACTGTGTGAAACACGCACAGACACATTCATTCATAACTATATATAGAAATGTAGAAATGTATACATGATCTGTTTTTCAACTTATATATTTTTATTTATACATTTATTCTAGTGTTTATTTATTCCTGTATTTCTTTCCACATTCATTAATTAATTCCTGTATTTATTTCCACATGTATTTATGCATTTATTGTAGTGTTTATTTATTCCTGTATTTGTGACCCGCTCTATAGAGAGGCGAAGTCCCTCCCCTTCCGAAAGCCTCCATGGGACCCCGGAAGCGGAAAATTATACATTGAAGTCAATGGAGAGAGAAAGGTTATCTTTTGATCCCGTTTGAATTGTGCCACGAATGACACATATGATGTTTGTCAATTTAAAAGAACATTTTGCAAGTCAAAAAAATAAAAATGTGTCGTAAAACTGTGAAGTTACACATTTTTTCGTGTGAAACCGCTCAGTGAACTACAGGTCTCTCGTCTCGCACAATACGCGTCACCATCACAAAGATGGCCGTCACGTTAGCACATTTAACCACATTCTTTCAGAATGAGAATAAAAGTATTTTACGAGGTGAAAATCACTACAAGTCTGGGCACGTTGAGAGCTGTACCTATATGAAAGGGGAGTTAGTCGGTTCTGTAAGAGCCAGCATGCGGGACCGGCTTTACAAGGTTTCGGTGAGTAATATGAGTGCAATTCTTTCACACACAGTGACGTCACAGCTACCCACAATGCAACGCGTGCCATATATTTTTTTATAAAGACGCCATTTTTCTGGAGGTGCAAAAATCCTGACAATGCTAATATAAACAGCTAGCTTATGTTGCCAGGCAGAGCGCACTAGGTTTTTTTTCTGAATTAACGACCGAAGAAATCGCTGCATGTCTTCGGATTATATCTCTGGACTTGAGGGGTGTGCTCTAGGTCGTTACCAGCGTAAACTAGAGCTGTGTGGGTTGTTGGATGTACAATGTATGGAATTACGACCCTCAAAAGTGGCCTTCGGTCGATTTTGGCTGCATCTACGTCTATCTTCTGGAAA